TAACTAACACTACTAAAATGTAGAGGGTGGCATTGCGAACAAAATGAGAGAGCGATAGCAAACTCTTATCCGGGAATGACGGAAACAAGCTAACAAGCGGGATCACTACACGGAGTGTGCCGGCAAGGAAAAATATACGTGTGGAATTGATTACGGGAATTTTCGCATGGATTACGGCGGGTTGCCAGTTTAATGGACTTGCTTGCTTCGTTCATAAATCCTAACGGTAGTTGTCTACGGGTCTACCGGAGGCTAAGGCCCGCAGGCACACACGCCACCACGGCATGCAAGCACGCAAGAGCGCGCAGGCACGCCACGACATGCCAACGCCGCGCAGCAGCACAGCCAAGCACACCGGCACAACACAGGCATGCACGCACGCACGCGCGCAGGCACACACGAGGCAACCAGGCACAGCACGTGCCGCGGCGGCGCGCGCGGCTATGATAACAAAGAGTAGTAAGTAGTAACCAACATCTGTGTTTATTATCTACCTTGATGAATGCAATAGCAGTAAGTACACAGTGCAACGACCATCAATGAACGTAAATGAGAAACACCTGACAACTGGAGACAGTCTAGCATGGAACTACCGCCGCCGTGGAACCGGCTTGTACCGTACGGCAGAGCCTCGCAGCTGAACGCCGAGCGAAGAGCGGGAAGGGTCGAGGACCCGACTGGAACAAATCGACTTCCAAGGGCGAGCTTTTTCTTTTGGGAGCGCCCCCGATATATGCTTTATCGGCGGGGGCCGTTTTTGGCCATTTCGGGGGCGAAATCGCCCCTGCCAGCCCCGACCGTGTATTTTTCGCCCAACTGGTGTATTGTAACTCGTTAGCTTACCCCCTGTACAGCATTTTTCAAATTCCTCTCATGCCGCACTTGCTAATGTGGTTATAATTCATCCAGCTCAGCCACACCCGAGCTGCATGGGCAGTTTTCTTCCTATAATGGCGCCACTTCCTCACAACAATGATCTCGCATCACAGCTGGTGTTTGCACTACGCTGTGCCACTGAAGAGGTACGCATTACAGGTGAATGGAACTTTAGAGCGCAAGCCTGCGAAGAGCTGGTTTCGACATTATGGATCACATCACTGATCCGCTTTCTTTCAGCTGCTCCACACGTCCGAGAGAACTAGGCAGAACTGAAGTTTGCACTGCACCAGAGCAATAACCATTGCACTGGTACCGGACGGGCGCTCCGCAACCGGCTGGACTCTACTTTGTCAACAGTCAGTTACGTTACACAAATGTGTACCTCATCGGTCACCATCTTCCTCGTTGGTAGTTTAGCGTAATTTAAGTTACCACGCTTCGTTTACCATCCTTCAGCGCATTCGGAAGAGTCCGACGTGCCTGTCACTAGATTTACAGAACATTTTTGCCAATAATAGGCCATAGTTCGAACATAGTACGACATTGTTGCCTTAGCCCGGGCAGTTACAGTCTTGCCAGTAAATGTCCCGCCTGTTGTCCACATCTATAACACACACCTTGGATGTCGCAGTGGGTTTTCCGATACAATCCCGTCCTTAGCACAGCTTTAACGGTTTATCCCTTTGCGGTTTACCGTTACGCTATGGACAGCTCATTGGTCGACCTCTCCAACTGAGTCTCCACAGCGCATAGGCACAAGCAATCTCCTGCAATTTTGCCAATGTCAGCTGTTTTCACCGTTCGTAGGAGTGTCCACGGACAGACCGTGACGCCGAATATGTAGGATAAGATATGGCATGATTGCCTATCCTCATCTATAAATTCGCAATGGCAGCCCTGCTCTCACGGCGTGTGATGTACGCGGCTTATCAGGCGCTCATTTGCTCTGCATCGCTTCCATAAACATATTCTCTCGAACGGCACGATTAACTGCACCACAAGATCTGTGGACAATATTATAACAACGGCCTGCCTTTAAACGTGTTCTCACACACTAACGGCGCGCTCCTCACCTCCACCATCTCCTGTTTCACGACAGGCAGATTGTGACAAGCAAATACTCCATGCCCCTTCTTTCCTCCTCGAGTCTTCTGGGTGTAGGGTGTATATAAATCGTGTAACCTTGACCCCCACACTGTCAACAATAATACTCTTACTGGACTGTCCTCAGGTGCTGACCTTTGCATTCGCGTACCGCGCTGAAGGCATCGACTTGCAATCTTTTGCCATCGGGACCAAAACATGAAGGAACCTCCCAGCCAGATCAAACTCAGGAAATAAACCTCCTAAGACCAGAACTGTTTCAGCAAGGACGGACAAACTCCGTCAAGCGATAGCTGAAGGTGTCAGTCGAATGTAAGCTTATCCTCGTCGCCATACTGTAACCGTTATACTGTGTTATAATTCCAGATAAACCAATAACACTGCTTTGTCTTAACGCTCGTTATTTACCCGCCATAAAAGAGCCGCGATATTCATCCCCGTCATGCCCTACCACCAAGCATCCATCATACTGCGAGCTGTAATAGTATCAATTGGAACACTAAATATCTGGATGGGTTATACACTACAGCGGCGCCTATGTTATCAAAACGTGGTTAGAAATTCTCCGTCGATTCAAAGCAATACAACATCATTTTAAGTGAAGTATGCCATTAATATTGGCTGATAATGAACGGATATTGAATCATTTATATACGTAGACTTGGTTGCTGTTGTTTACAAACCGATACATGCCGGAATAATGGCAACATTGGCAGTGAAAGCGCTAAACGAGCTGATCCGATGCAATTTGCATGGCAGAGATGCTAATGCACTGCTGGAATTTGCACTCGATTATTTTGATGATGAACGTGTGATTGTGTCTGATGTAGAAGATGAGAGTGATGACGAAGAGTCCGAGGTGTTTGATATTCATGATGCACTGGATTTTGGTGGTGTGCGTGCCAACCAACAATCAGGATTTTGTTCACTTTTACAACCAAACCAAGTGTTTTATGCAGTCTGTGGTCGAGTTTGTCAAGATTTTCAGCTGTAAGGGTATCGCCGCCCCCTCCAAGTTGGTCCTGGAGGACCCTGAATTAAATTTAAGTTTTGAATTAACATTTGATATAGTTCCAAGAGTGTGTATGCAACATTTGGTGGCAATATCTTGAATATAAAGTATTGGTTGGTATGGAAACTTGGCATTTGATTACAATTATTTTTAACCTCAATTTTCTCAAAGTTTTGTTTCTGAATTTTGCGAATTTGTCATGAACAAATCTGGCAATTTCTCGGCAATCACTAAAGATAGAGAGTTGAGAGTGGTATCAAAAAGCTTATGACCCAGGGAATCTGAATATTTGCATAACTCCATTGTTGTATATCCGCGCACTAAATTTTATAATAACCATACATAAGGATATTGACGCTAGGTGTCGCCCTCGTTGGCTGAGGAAGAATAAAACGTGTTTCTTAAACTGTGTTTGTCTCAATTGATTCTACGGATTATACCAGAAGTTCTAAACTATACAATACCACATACGTTTAGGACAACGTATAACATAACATCCATATTCCAAAATTTCTGTTGCAGAATGGTTTCTATATTGTTGACAATAAAGCTGATTTGATTATATTACACTAAGTGGCGAATACAATTGGCAAATGATTTAGCTGCTCACTAAATTGCGATTGAATAATGATATCATCCAATTACCGCGTCGTTTCGTAAAATATTTTCGTCCACAATCTTTTCCCATATCTATGACGTATATTTTACCCATATCTGTGTAATATTCTATATATATGTATATTAATATATGTATAATATACATGTATGTACTATGTATATCCTTTACTGCTCAATAAAAATATTAAGAAATATAAGTCCACGCAAGATGCAAGTTTGCATTTTTTTCCCATATGAATGAAAATAATAACATCCTACTTGGACATGTAAATGTTGATGGGCGATAATTTTAACGACCTCTCTTTATTTAAAAAAATGTAATTTTAAATGTAAATTGTAAATGTAATTGTTAATCGTACACCTGTTTCAAAACACTAATTGAACTATGATATTTTGTTTTCGTATTTACAAGATCACGTATGAAATAAAATGTTCTGTAGCAGTTTATTGGCACCTAGAATCCATGAAAATGCGTTGCTGTATCCCCCGCGATGAAGTCGGCGGGGATACTATGGTTTCATGTCTGTCCGGCCGCCCCTGCCGCAGACACTTTCCCTTCCGTCTATAACTCGACCCTTAATTGACCTAGCATGACCAACCTTGGTATACTTACACATCCTGGGGAGAAGGCGTGTCGCATACTAAAACCAGGTCACTGCGCCCTTTATTTGACCTTGACATTGACCTTGATCATATTTCTCTTCCGTTCTATAACTCGGCCCGTATTTGTCTTTATAACGCGACCAACCTTGGTATACTTACACATCTTGGGGAGAAGGTGTGTCGCGTACCAAAACCAGGTTACTGCGACCTTTATTTGACTCTGACTTTGGTCATAATTCCCTTCCGCTCTATAATTTGGCCCCTAATTGACCTAGCGCGAGCAAACTTGGTATAGTTACACAACTTGGGGAGAAGGTTTGTCGCGTACCAAAACAAGGTCACTGCGACCTTTATTTGACCTTGACATTGAAATTGATCATATTTCCTTTCCGTTCTATAACTCGGCCCCTAATTGACCTAGCGCAACCAGACTTGGTATACTTACACATCTGAGGCAGATGAGCTGTGTAATAAACCTATGTGTCTTTGTGACTTATTTCACTTAACCTACCTTGTACGTCCTTATGGAGATATTTCCTTCATACTAGATCGCGGGGGATACATGTAGTTGGCGACAACCACCATTTCTAGTTTTATAACATATCCCTAAATGAAATTCAAGGCCATAGGTGTCACGGTGCCCAACGACAGGTCCATTATCATCATAATACTTGTGGGTATTGATATCTTATCGTATTGATATAGACAACCATGTTCACAGTAAGAATGTCTAAAGCTGAAGGTAGTTGGTGATTAACGTTGATTTTTTTCCCCGCAGGAAGTCGAACGACAGAGGGGAGAACCTGCGCGGGGGAAGAAACTGCTTAGCTTCCCACCCGTGTGATGGACTCTTCCCACTTAGATGTACCGCCTGCAGAAGGAGAGAAATCGCACGCGTGTGATACGTGTGGTCACAGATTCGCGCTAGAGAAGCATCTGCGGACCCACATGCTCATTCACTCGGGAGAGAAACCCTATGCGTGTGATACGTGTGACTATAGATGCTTTAGTATGACTCAACTCAAGCTACACAAACGCACCCATACAGGAGAGAAATCCTACGTGTGTGACATTTGTTCATATTCGTGTTTCAACTCAAGTAGCCTAAGGATTCACTTTCGAACTCACACGGGTGAGAAACCCTATGCATGCGACACATGTGACTACAGGGGCACTCAGCTATTCAACCTTGAGTCACACAAGCGAACTCACACAGGAGAGAAACCCTACGTGTGTGATATTTGTTTATATTCATATTCTCACTCGCATCATCTGAAGGAGCACTTTCGAACTCACTCAGGAGAAAAGCCCTATGCATGTGACACATGCGAGTACAAATGTATGTCATCCTCTGCTCTCCAGGCACACAAGCGAACTCACACAGGAGAGAAACCCTACAAGTGTGACACATGTGACTACAGGTGCTCTCACCTATCCAGTCTTAAGACACACATGCGCTCTCACACAGGAGAGAAACCCTTTGCATGTGACACATGTGACTACAGGTGCAATCAACCAGCAAATCTTAAGAAACACAAGCGAACTCACACAGGAGAGAAGCTCTATGCATGTGATACGTGTGACTACAGATGCTATGAAGTGGCTAAACTCAAGCAACACAAACGCATCCATACAGGAGAGAAACCATACGTGTGTGACATTTGTTCATGTTCATATTCTCACTTGAGTGGTCTGAAGGTGCACTTTCGAACTCACTCGGGTGATAAGCTTTATGCATGTGACAAATGCGAGTACAAATGTATGTCATTCTCTGCTCTCCAGGCACACAAGCGAACTCACACAGGAGAGAACCCCTACAAGTGTGATATGTGTGACTACAGGTGCAATCAACCAGCAAATCTTAAGACACACAAGCGAACTCACACAGGAAAGAAGCTCTATGCATGTGATACGTGTGACTACAGATGCTCTGAAGTGGCTAAACTCAAGGAACACAAGCGCATTCATACAGGAGAGAAACCATACGTGTGTGACATTTGTTCATGTTCATATTCTCACTTGAGTGGTCTGAAGGTGCACTTTCGAACTCACTCAGGAGAAAAGCCCTATGCATGTGACAAATGCGAGTACAAATGTACGTCATCCTCTGCTCTCCAGGCACACAAGCGAACTCACACAGGAGAGAAACCCTATGCATGTGATACGTGTGATTATAGATGCTCTCAAATGTCTTGCCTCAAGCGACACAAGCGCATTCACACAGGCGAAAAGCCTTATGCATGTGACACATGTGACTACAGGTGCGCTCAACTATCCAGTCTCAAGAAACACAAGCGAACTCACATGGGAGGAAAGCCATAGACACGTGATAACACACAGCCAATGACATAGCTACTGCTTGCATGTGATATGTGTGGATATATTTGCTCTCCAGGATCGCTGCTATTCTCATGATGTTGTTTTACCCCCCCCCCCTCATCTTTTATTTTCTCATTGCTGATCAGTTTTCAGAAGTGCTTAGTGCGCTATTGATGTATAGCCACTTCTGCCAGTATACTGCCAGTATACTGCCAGCGCCCTTATATATTGCATAGTTGACAATGGAATGCCAACTACAGTATGGCTTGTAAGTTCGTACCGTGTAAGCTTAGTCTAAAAAGGGAAGTGTCAAAAATCTGTGTGTGTGTGGAGTAGAATATATGTCGATCGTAGATAGTAGACGTAGACAGTCAGGTAAGCGGTGGTAAGTACGGTTTAGTGCAAACACGGATAAAATCAGCGTACTCGTAGCGGTCAGATGTGGCCGACGTCTCCCCCGTTGTCACCAAAACCCCTGTCTTTTATCCGTCTGCATCGTCGTCCGACCTGTTTACTCATTTGTGTCGCGGGTCGTGGGTACAACGACCGGTCACGACCAACGTACGACGGTGCCAGGTAGGCACGCCAACCACCGTCGATGTTACTCTCTTAATGATAAACTCAGCCTCTATTCTTGTTAAAGTTAATGTGTTCGTACCATTTTGAAATGCCTTCTGTCCACATTAAATTATGTCCGCTCTTAAGTATGCAGCTAATGTCTTCTGGGTCCCTCACCGGCCGTCCCTGGGCTTTTGCCTAACTAATGTGGCAAATTCCTCATGTCTCTCTCTCTCTTAGCTAAAACCCCGTACTACATGAGTGTGTGTGTGTGTGTATGTGTGTGTGTGTGTGTGTGTGTGTGTGTGCGTGCGTGCGTGCGTGCGTGCGTGCGCGTGTGGTATAAATACATATAATTGGTAATAATTATTAATTGAGTTGTTCTATTTTCTGAATTGTATTGAGCAAACATACAACACGCTCGCACGCTCGTACTCACACACACGTACGCATGCACGCACGCATGCACACACCCACGCACGTAAGCAGGTATACTCACGCATGTGCGCACGCACGTAAGCACGTATACTCACGCATGCACACGCATGCACACACGCACGCACGCACGCATGCACGCACGCACGTAAGTAGGTATACTCACGCACACACGCATGCACGCACGCACGCACGTAAGCAGGTATACTCACCCATGCACGCACGCACGCACGCACGTAAGCAGGTATACCTACGAACGCACGCACGCACGCACGCACGCACGCACGCACGCAGGCACGTAAGCAGGTATACTCATGCACGCACGCTCGCACGCACGCACGTACCCATGTATACTCACGCACGCGCGCCCATCTCATCCGAACCTCTGAATCTGTTATTAATCTGAACGAAATATATGATGAAGAAACTCGAATATTAATTAATCAAATTACGGATACTGTTAGGGTTACGGACGGGTAACACTGTAAAGGGCATTGCTACACAACTGCTCATCAAATTCAATCAAACTCATATCCATTACATAAGAGAGATGTCTCTCTACGCTCTCGATGAAATTTGTCATCTGAACGAAATACATGACGAAGAAACTCGAATATTAATTAATCAAATTTAGCAAATTAATTACAGCACGCAATCTTTTGCTGAAGAGCATTATTTTCACTGGGAAATGTGAAAAGCAGTTTATTTTCACTATGAACTGTGAACAGTACCGCCCCTTACCCACCCCCTCTTGAAGTGGTTAATACGAAACCCGCTTAATACAATTATTTTTCTTTGGCCCGTCAGTTTTCTACTAACGGGGTTTGACTGTAGTAATGATTCTTGGAAATGTAGGCAAACGCTTCGCAGGAATGGTTTATATCCTCCGCACGTAGTGTAGCGGAACGGTATTGTTTTCGCGCCGGCCGTTTGTGTGTGTGTGTGTGTGTGTGTGTGTGCGCGCGCGCGCGTGTGTGTGTGTGTTGTGTGTGCGTGTGTGTGTGTGTGTGTGTATGTGTTGTGTGTGTGTGTGTGTGCGTGTGCGTGTGCGTGTGTGGGTGTCTGTCTGTGACGTCTGCTCGATATTTTTGCAACCGTTAGAGGTAGAAACTTGGTTCAGAGGTGGACCTTAGGGGGCAGTGGAACCCTATTGATTTTGAGTGCCTTTCACCCAAGGTCAAGGGTAGCAGGTTTACATTTGATGAATGCATAGATAGATAGATAGATAGATAGATAGATAGATAGATAGATAGATAGATAGATTGATAGGTAAAAAAATAGATAGATAGATAGATAGATAGATAGATAGATTGATAGGTAAAAAAATAGATAAATTGATAGATAGATATGCACTGAGTGCGAGCGTGCAGGTGGGGGAGGACTTGATTCCACAGCCAGCGCGTGTGCCCTGGCGAATCACTGCAAAGGTTACGTGACAGACTACTGTATCCCTTAGCCTGTGGTTGCGTCACAGACTAACGGATACACAGACTGGACGCAACGCCAAAATAGTGTAATGCAATTGAATGGTGGCGCCGCCCAGCGAATGTAGCGGTACACTAAAAATCTGGCTGTGGTGACAGACCGTGGATGTGTAACGTTGCAACATTAAAACGTCTCTATCGTTAATTATAATATTTGACTGGAGTTTTAATTATATATTTCCTGAATCTAGAAGGTCAAATGTTAGTCTTCAAGTAGATTTTGCTCTATTAAACGGCTATACATTTATTTTTACATGCCAAACGATCATCCACACCGTATCACAGACTATACACAGACTAATGCACAATACACACATAACATCACAATGCGTAATGTGCACACGGTATATATACTGTGCTACAATCTGTAGTTTAATTTATTCCTCAGTCTGTGACCGGATTTTGTGAGATGTTTGTTTTTTCTACAAACAATAATAATAATAAAAACGATATAATTTCCATATTTTTTACTCAAATACCATTATTCACATTTATTGCTAGAAAGATTTTTTGATTTCCCCCGTGTGTTTTTAATAAAGATGGAAGGGATCGGGTGAAGGAATTATGGAAAATAAGGTAAAATACAGACAGTTTGAATTTTATTAGCAAAATTATTCAGCATGTGTTGGTTTAGTTTTGATATTGCCATAAGCAATAATGATAATATACTTCAGTGCCCAGCAGTAAATATTTCTGTTCATGTATATTTCATGAAATCAAGCCTGGTACATGTATAATGCCCCATGAGTCACACGACGAGAAGCAGAGAAAGCAATGTATTTTACTAATTTCCCATACTAATAATAGTTATATTTTTAAATAGATACAGCATATCACATTTCGAAGCAGCCAGTGATTTTAACCCTTGTCTGCTGGACACATAAATTGAGATGCCTCAAAATGATTCTCTCAAATTAGCAGATATTTGCATTGGCTGTCTTTTAACCCGTCAATGTCGGCTCTTCTTATGTTGCAGATTCACTTCCGAAGTCTATGTACATGACCATCTACATGTGTCATGTGATGTACATGATGTATATTTACAAATTGCATATCGTCTTAACTGGTATTTTTCACAGAACAAAGGGCAGCAGAATTACACAGATCACCGAACCAAGTAGTGTTTTCCCTAACTTTTAACTGTTAGCTTCACAAGATTGTAAATTGTATTAGTTTACATTGATATTATAATTACATATAATTAAACAATCAATAAGTACAGTCTCTGTTCGTGTGCACAGCAGTCAGCGAGTCACTGCATCTGTCATTGCCATCCTAAACGAATTTATTATTTGCAAACGTAAAATGCTACACGTGATAAATCTAGTACCTATCATGCTCTTTTGGAAACTTGAAAAACGCTATATCTGGGAATATATCTAGAATATATTATGCAAATGATTCCCGTACCGGCTTGAATATAGACACTCCATACTCTCTGTGAATATTGGGTTTATTGACGCACGATTAGTCAATATATTAGCAAATATATGCGTGCGGAAGTGAATTACAGATGAGTAAATTTCTAAAATTCTAGCTACCTATAGACACATGTCTTAGCTATAGTCTCTGTGAATATTAAGTTTATTGACGCACGATTAGTCAATATATTAGCAAATATATGCGTACCGTAATCTCCCGTACTGGCTTGAATATAGACAACCACGATGCCATTTCGAGGTAGTTGCACCGCCACATTCGACCAGGAAGTCAATAAACCCAATATTTCACAGGCCAGAGAGTATTGGAGCACCCATCGAACCTTAGCAAGGGCAGGGTATAAGCTGATCTATACTTACAAGCTGGTACGCTGGAATCATTTGCACTAATACTATTCTAAGATATATTCCCAGATATATGCCGTTTTTCAAAGGTGTTTCCAAAAGGAAGGCTCTGTGATTGATCACGTATAGTCTGGCTACTAGGAGATTTATTCACAGTGCTTGCAGGTCGATTTGTGTAAAGTGACTCTTTGTCAAAGAGCCTCCAAAATGGAGAATTCTTAGGATCCAGAAATGCTAGCCAGGATGCTGCTGAACTGAAAAGTGACTCGCTGACTGGCTGTGCACACAAACAGAGGACTGTACTTATTGCTACTTGTTTAACTTATATGGAATTCCTGAGTTGCATAATGTATCTCATATGCTAACCAACGGTAGATTGAACAATTTACAATCTGTTGAAATTGTCGCTAACAGTTAAAGTTAGGCGGATTATAACATCTGAGCTCTTAAGACATGATTTCGGTTTTTAGTTAAACAGTACTGGATATCTGTGCTCCCCCAATCTCGCTGCCACTATAATAACAAAAAAGTCGCCAATTCTGCTTGAAAAACAATACAGTTAAAGACCGATATGCAATTTTGTAAATAATACATCGATGTACATCAACCATGACACATTGAATGATGTTTTTAGAAATCGAACCTTGATTTCGTCAATGTGTTACCAGTTAGGACTTCGGAAGGAATCCGCGGAGGAAATGATCCTAGAACATTAAGAAGAGCCGACATTGACGGGTCTTAAAAGACAGCCAAATGCAAATATCTAGCTAATTTAGACGGAATATTTTTGAGGCATCTCAATAAGTAACTATAAATGTGATCCAGTCATATGACCAACCACCGTGGGTTAAAATCACTGGCTGCTTCGAAATGTGATATTGCTGTATCTACTTTAAACAACTAGTGAGACGTATATTTAATTTAGCTATGTGGGAAAATTAGTAAAATTACATTGCTCTTTCTGCTGCACGCCCTACTGACTCATCGTACTGGAGGAACAAAACAGACGACAATACTCAAATTATTCTATAGATAACTGAAGATTAATCTTATTCATTCTATAAATAAAATATAAAGACTGTTTCATTTCCACTCTGTGGTTTTGTATAATTTCAAACTACGAGCTTGAACTTTCATTGAGTGCTTATAATTACTACTGCACTACTCCAAATTACTAATTTATCATATATATTAGATTTGTACCAGGCTTTGATTTACTATGTACCAACAATTATAACTATATTTACTATAATACATTATTAGTATATTGAATCAGAAAATATGTATTCATACCTTTTGGAGCTCCACTGTGACAGTCCACATAGAGAGAGTCAGTGATACTTATTCGCAAGTCTTATTTCTGGCTATGATTTCGCTATGGCAATATCAAAAACTACAAACCTAGAAATCACTATCGCGCCTGAATAATTTTGCTACATAAAAAATGTCAAACTGTCTGCTATTTTACACGTCCGTCCTCCTCCAGTTTTCCCCGTCCCTTGAGAGTTCCTCCTTCTCACCGCTCACTTGCTCGTCCTTTCCATCTGTGTTCACTCTCAAAGAGATCCACCACCCGGTCCGTCCG